ACCTCTGTTGACGTGGCAATAACGGTTGCGAGCGCTGAACCAAGGCAAGTCCGTCGACGTCACTTACATTGACTTCAGTAAGAATTTTGAAAAGGGTGTGCGGTGTTGGTGGCTCGCTGCATCTATGGATCAAGAATTTCCTTGTTGGTTAAAACTGGAGGGTCCAGGTGGACAACCATTTGACCGACTGGTACCCATGGATCAGTGACGTGCCCCAAAGCACTGTATTGGAGCCGATTTTATTTCTGATCCATGTAAACTATGTGCCTCAGCTACTCCAATCATCTTGTGCGTTGTTCGCAGATGACTTGAAGGTATGGAGAGTAATCCGCACACCTACTGGTTGTAACCTGGTTCAGCAGGACCTCGACCGCCTCCACGTGGTCTGCAGAGGTCACAATTTTTATCAATCCGGTCAAGTCGCAATTCATGAGGCTGGGCAAGTGTGAGCACAGTCGAACCTACACGGTGGCTGGTCATCCGTTGCATCCTGTGCCTTTCATGCGAGACCTCGGTGTACTCACACGCTATGACCTAAAGCACTTGGACAACTCGAATAGGCTTTATCAAAACAGCCTTCGTATGCTTTGGACGCTCAGGCGCAGCTTCAGCACTTGGTCCGAAGAGACTGCCACTCGCCTATTCGTCTTAAATATATGACCGATGATAGAGTATAGCTCTTCCGCTTATTGTCCTATCCCCTGGGGCGAGGTAGAAAAGATTGAGCGAGTGCAGGATGTATCCACCAGGCTGATTCCCAACTTACGAAGTGTGCCATACGAAGACCGGTGTAAGGAACTAAGACTGTACACCCTAGGTTATCGTCGATTGAGGGTTGACCTCATCATGACGCACTGGATATTACCTCTGGGAGCTTACCCCATGTGGAGGCCGCTGCTTCATCTACGCACACCAAGCAGCACACGAAGATATCGGTGCAAGCTTGTCGTACCGAATTTAAAGCGGTTCGCTCACCAACTCTGTTTCGAACGCAGAGTGGTGAATGTATGGAACGACCTGCCGCAGCAAGTAGTTGAGGCAAAGTCGGTGTCGGAATTGTAGAAATTCCTGGACACACACTTTGCCGACATAAAATATGTCTAGCGCACCACAACATACCGGGTATTCGTCCCTGGGTGACATAAGATGCAGCTACACAGTGACTCTTCTTATTGCTACTTCCAACCAGTAATCAGCAATCAGTACTCATCGGACTATGCGGGGACTATTTCGAGGTCGATCCACTCACCGCTACTACCACGGAAGCAGTCATCAATAAGTTTAGAAATCAGTTCGACAGACACGGAATACCGGAGGAACTGATCTCCGACAATGGCTCCTAGTTTACAAATTCTGCTTTCCAGACCTTCACAAACCAGTGAGAATTTTCGCATCGATATACCAGACAGTATCACTGTTAGTCTAACGGAAAAGCAGTGAAGCCGGTCAAAGAAACCAAGTTGTTGTCGAAGGCTAGACCACTCATGAGCATCCATGTCTGATGCTGTCGGAAATTCGCAACACGCCATCATCTAACATAGGTCTCAGTCCAGTTCAACGTCTATATAGCAGAAGGACTAGAACCCTGATGCCGGCGTCGGCTGCATTTCTACACTCCACTTAACTGTCGCATGAACAACTGCCATTGTTTTTAGGAAAATGGATGGCAGATCAGAAACTTCATTACTACCGTGGTACCCGGGCGTTAGCCGAGCTATCAGTAAACGAATAACTGTAGGTTAAACCAATACCGCATGTCCGCGAGCGATGGGAAATATGTGTGGTGACCGTGAAGGGTGAAGAAAGATATTATGAAGTCAGTGCTGGAAGGAAGGTACTCAGGTGAAGCGATACTAGGAACGCTGCGCCTGAAACACTGCACACGATGGCTTTCGGTGAGGTCGCAGAGACTGAATCTGCGAAGGTCTCACGGAGCGGTAAAACGTACGGAGTTATCAGCGACACCGATGCGGATGATCACGAATAAGGGAAGGATATGATGTAAGTATGTGATCGGGGAAATGAGACGAATTTACATGACTAAACAAACAGCCAGATTGACGCAAGCGAACTGAGTAAATAATTGGACTCCTACTCCTCTCCGCCTCCATACTATTTGGTTAATATTTGGTTAAGCTGGCATGAGTCTGTTTGACTGGAGCAAAAAAGGAAAACGAGAATGCAGAAGCGTCTTTAGTTTTGCAATTAGCCTAGGTATATACCTTGAGACTTCTGCAGGCTAGTTATGCTGTCATTTTCTATTAGATTGCCTTGTCAATTAAATTGTTTGTCCCTGAAGGACCATGTTCTGCGACACTACCTCACCTACTACATACAGAGGAAAGAACCGACGAAATTAGTTAATTATGATTTTTCACACTTTTTCCTTTTTATCTTCCGATCACGATCTACAATCTCTTTTTAGCGGGCTGCTTTAACAGAAATGACATGCACAGTCGCTTGTTTTTCTCTAACTTCACTGTCCAAACCATAGCGTCAGGTATCTTTGATGCAGTCAGTGCGCCAAGCTTGATTTAGTTACGGAGGGACCGAGATCCGTGTACCTCTTGCTTGTGCACTGCAAGCTACGTACACGCGATAAGTTGAAAAGGACATAAGCAATTAACTAATGGTAGTAGTAGCGCGCACATCGACCAGAAGAGTTAATACCATTAACTCTCTGAATCCCAGCTACCCACCTTCCCGAGAATGTCCACGATATGGAAGTAAAGCGATACCAGGCTCAGTTCCTCGTAGGAATAATATAGTTCTAATGGCAGTGTTAACACACCACTCCTTTAAGTTTTTGACGTCCTTTTCATCGCTAGGGTCTGTGCATATCTTTTATCATAAAACATGTTCTGCTTCCATTCAAAGACATAGTAACAGTGCAAGTATGCTGCACTTATGCAGCAGTGAGTGGCAGCTATCTTTGATCACAACGGTAGTCGTAGAAGACGGATAGCAACGAACGGTTCACAGCGAGCTGCTGACGAAATATAACAGGCGTTTCTGTAATCCCTGAGGGATTCATAAAGCTCGGTTTCCTGCACTGTTACTTGGTACAAGTAAATACCGATGATATCTAGACGAAATTACCTCAGCAACTTGCTCATTGTGGTCGCCGAAATCTTTCGCAACCCATAATTGAGCTAAGTAACCCCATTCTCCTCGAGACTAACATGCACTAGAACCAGTACAGTATGCCAGAGGCGGCTTGGGTTTCTTACTTCATTCCGAGCCTTGTCTAAGGGAATAGCCGAAACTGGACTGCAGCACTACATCCAACTCATATCAGACATGTAAGATGCGTGTGCCATGTGAAAGAACGTAAGCGAACGTAAACGAACTGAAAGCCGGTGTGATAAGTCTGCGGTGCATGAATACACTGATGAGACAGTGGTAGACAACTGCTTCCAAGTAGTTTTACCGTCCAGCAGAATACATCATGTTACCAAGTAAAGGTTGCGAAACGGTGCAACATAGCCTAGCAAACTGTTACATGTGTCCGAATCGTCTGGATCATCAGTAATAGTTAGTTAAGATAATCACTTGACTTGGCTATCTGGGTAATGGACGAGAGCGGAGCGATGCAGTGTAGTGCATATCAACTCATGAATGGTCAGCATAGCGGTAAATCATCCACTTGTCATAACTGTGGCTGCAAACTCCATTAAGTTAGGTTAAAGGCTGGTGTGTACAAGAGGATGATGAAACCACTTCTATGGGTTTCAGTGGGAATGTCAGCCTTACGTTGGAAGTTCTTGACCACTTATTTGCTTACAGTGCATTTGATATGAATAATATTGTACCATTACATCAAGGAGTTAAGGATTAGAGGGCTGTCACGCATTGGCATACAAGGTAGTTCTCCCAACTAAAATGTGAAATCAAAGGTTTTGCCGCGACTCGAAGATGATAAGCGAGCTCTTATAAATTTTAACCAGGATGTCTTTGTCATAACCGTCCGGTTCGTAGCGACATAACCGCTTAGCGGATCAGTTAACAGTCTAGTTGCGCAGGGCAAATGCGTCTCTAGTCAGCGACAAGTTCCGGTTCGCAGTAACCAAATTATCCCAAAGCTCTGTACTACTTTAAAGTGAATAACACATAGACAACCTGCACTGGCATGCATCGCGAGATGTAAGTGGCCATCATAATCCGGGACTGGTGACCTAGTACAAATCAGCTAGAAAACTTTGACGACGACCACTGAGGCAGCTGGATGTATGATTTATTTAGGATACTTCTCATATCTCTTTCCCATGTATGCTGCTTTTATCGACACTTGGCCTCCAGATTTCGCCGGACGGCGAAGTATCACGCCGAGGCTTCATCCATCAACTCACATGTGAAACCCCATTTCCCTTAAGTAGCACGGTGTTGTCTGTCTAAGTTCTACTCCTTGAACGCTGATCCCAACATCGCACTGCTGATGAAGTAGAAGTGTTAATCAAAGACATCAGCCAGTAGTTCGGAAGAAAAAACCTCATACGTCCCACCTACCTGGGCCAACGATCATCCGAGTTAGGGGCTTGTGCACTGAGCCAAATCCTTGAGAGCAATATAACCGCACGAAGACCTAACTTGGTCTTTTGGCACCAAACGTTGCTATTTTTGCTGAACTTGGCACCATCTGCACCTCCACCTTTGGCTCACGCAATAAAACACATCGAATGGCTTGACATTATAGGCATTAATAGTTGTGCTTAGGAAAAACGTCCAGGCACTCTGGCTTACAAAGGGGCCTCAGTTGTCCATATACCTTCTAATTCTGCGAGTAACTTCACTCCGGTTGCCACAAAGAGATTTCGAAGTATTATGGTGAGGCCCTCGGTAACGTGTTTTGTTTTATGTTGTACGTGTGGCGATGATAGTCTGAGAGAAGGTACTCCTTTCGAGCGTTAGTTTGAACCGATATTTTCCAGCTTCTCAACTTCGCGTGTACTTACTTTGCACCTTGCTCGAGTTATCTCGCTAACTGTCTCCTTTTCATCTAGGTTCATGTTGGTCCAATGCGACCAACTAGCAGTGGACAAATTCTTCTCAATTCACCGAACCCGGAGGAAGCTCCACAGATCAACCCCAATTACATGGCATCTGAACAAGATAAAGCAGAAATGAGGGCATCGATTCGCTTATCACGTGAAATATTTTCCCAGCCCGCTTTGTCCGAACGATTTGGAGGTGTGGAATTGATTCCAGGCCCCAACAAGAAAACAGATGCTGAGTTGGACCAGTTCGTGAAGAATTTCGGCGATAGTGCCTACCACCCATCTTGCACCTGCCGAATTGGACCCAATCCAGATGGACACCGGATCTCGGAAGACGAGCAGAGGAAGCTAGGGTACGTAGGTAACGGCCGAGTGAATGCGGCAGTTACGCAACCCAACTGTGCTGTGTGGGGGCTAGATTCTCTGCGGATTGTGGACGCAAGCATAATGCCATCAATCGTGTCCGGTAACTTGAACGCTGCTGTTGTCATGTTGGCCGAACGCGCATCCGACATTATTCTGAGCGATTACGATGGGCACTCAGTTATTCTACCCCCTGCATCAAATATCAAAATTTGGGAACCAGATTGTTTCGAAGTGCCCCACAGCATCACGGCTTAGTTGCCACAATACTTTGGAGATATTTTACAACCTGGTTCAGTGGGACGCTGTAAGAGTATTCATAATTCCAGTCATTTTCCTCTTTCATTAGCTATCGGTTTTGTACCCGTACACTATGAACTATCTGGTATACCTGCTCAGTATAACTTGAAATCTTGAAGAAAGTATTTTGTTGAATGCCTTGCATTTTGCCTAGTCCTACGGAGAGTAGCATAGGGCTACGGGCGACTGTCGGTGGACAGAATGGAATTCAGTATACAACCGTGACTTCAAATGAACCCATAATAAGTCATTAACTGGTATGATCAGCTTTGCCCAGGATAAGGCGGTGCCATGAAAAGGGGTGTGGTTGCCAGTTACCACTTCCTGAATTTGAATTGCAGTCCTTGCCTGATGAGTGCAAACAAATATGAAGCCAATCATGGGGTGCAGCATTTCGGGTGATCAACTGGCGACATTGTCCACTGTCTGAGTTCACCACCTATGTTTTTCACGTTTATACGCTTTCAGCAAAGCTGTAGCGTATCGCGGCGGAGCAGTAGGCTAAGTCAGTTACCACAAACTCACAGAGCTCCGTGACCACCCACTGAATCACCTTTGGAGGTTCGAGCGCCCATTGTGTGTGTGTGTGTGTGTGTGTATGTGCGGATGGATAGTTAGCGAGATCGGGGTCATCTTATGTGCTGAAGTTGCATGGATACTGCGTCCATCGTTATTAGCCCAACACTGCATCTCCGGTTTTGCCCTTATCTGAGCATTGCAGTGGAGAATCAGTCGGTTCAACACAGTCAACAGTTGTAAATGATTGCGACTTACATGGCGCAGCTAACCGCACGCTATTGAAAACTGTACAACAATGGTGCTAAACGCAGTCCAGCGAAAGAACGGGACCACAAGAATGTCTTGAGAAAAATGAAACCCATATACCTCACCGGGTACTTCTAGTTGACTGATCACTTTGCACAAAATATATGCATGCGCAGTGAAGGTATTAGGTGCGGCCAATTTCAAATAACTAAATAAAAGGTATATTCCTCGACGGTGTACGGCATAGTTCAACTGATTGATCTGATCAATTTGTACAGCGAGATGGCATGAAATAGTTAATTGTTCACGTTTTATAATATGGATCCCAAATGGGTTTTGAGGTAATTCGCAGTTTGAAGGTATTAGAGAGATTAAGAAAATAGGAACAATAACAAATGTAGACCTAACCAAAAGTTCAAGTAAAGTACTACAGGCATACATGGTTTATGATCGCAACTGGGGGGGGGCAGGGTCACCGAATAATTATATATTTACCGAGACGTGAAATAAGAAACAAGTTCCACTGACGTCATCCCGTGCGAGGAACAGTCAGTGTTAAGAGTCAGTCGCTTTTTTCGGTACTCAGTCGCAATTTTGGCTAAATCGTCACTGTGGTTGGCCAGTCAACTGGATTGAATTGACTGACTGAAAGCAGATAGCTTGGACTTCAGTTCTGTCACTACCACTAGTGAAACCTTGAACACGCTTGGGATAGTTTTCCACCATGCTGCTGTGGTACCTCATTTTCACAATGAGCCTGGAATCGGTTGCTTGTCTCATTTCAGTGAAACAGGGGTGAAACTCTGACTCAATTACAGCCGTTGTTATATACGGCTGCAATATATCCGTAAAACTTCAACTCTTGATGCAGTATGTTATTGGTTACCCGCCTAGGCACTCTTATACAGCAGGCTCACTGTCACTGAGGAACTTGTCAGTGGCCGTAGCTTGGTGACCTACTTACAAACGTCACTAAATTCCGTATTGGGGTCCCGTCTATTCTTGGGTTTTCTTGGCGATCAAATGGGCTTAATCTCCTCAGGGTTTATTTGGTGCCAATAGCATCAAATGTTGGCGGCCGATCGAAGGGCTAGACAGCTGCTTACAGCTTAACAGTGATCTCGAAAGGACTTATCAATGGTCATTCCAGAATTGTCTCCAATTGCGCGTGACGAAATGTTATGTGCTCCATCTAAGACACCAAATGGTCCCACATGTAAGCTGGGCACACAGGATCTGCGGCGTTGTCATCATGAAATGATGTCGATCCAGGGAGACGTTGGTTGCGTGGCGCAATTTAGAATAACCTCAAAAAGAGCATACAAAACGCGGGGCTCTTAAGAAAGCTTTTGGTCACCACGACTCGTCCGTATTCTTCACACGGCTTTCTACATACATACTCACTTACGTGGAATATGCGATTCAAGCATGGCAATTATGGCAGAAGCGAGATGTTGCTGTTTTCAAGATCCTACAACGTCGGGCCACCCAAAACGCCATAGAGCTACATCACTTACCCTTCGAACACTGATGGAATGTGCTGGGCGTTTTCAGTAGACGCTCTCGGCGATCGCATATTGATCTTATCGTGGTTTGCATGACGTTGAGCAACACTAATCACTCATGCAATTATCTGCTGGAGCTCAGCCATAATTACTGACTGAGAGGTAACCACACCAAACTAGCGTAACAATGTAGCCAGTTAGAATGTAGACGGAATTCTTTTTGCTGTGTGTTTATCATACGGGATACTCATTCCAAGAAGCAGATATTTCAGACCCACATTAGCTGTGTTCTTGTACATCGTGTCGACAATGTGCTGGCCGCAAAATACTACATCATATAACAAACATAAACCGTGAGTACGTTCAGAAAAACATACCGCATCAACCCACATCAGTTACGCTGAGAGAACCAAAAGTGGTAATTTTTAAATTGCAGAAAACCATACGTGAGCGATTCAGACAGACTAATGTTTGACCGGAATGTTCAACATTTACAGTTTTTCACTGCTTATAGTTGTATTTCCTTTACATTGGAAACCCACCACCGACTATCCGAGTGGACATGTTAAGCTTCGGCTATTTTATCCGCAACATACCATTGTCCATTGAATGTAGGATGCCAAAAATACCAAGGGCACATGGAGTAGATACCTTTTTAATGATAGCATTAGAATTGTTATCGTACAGCTAGCAGTCTGATGGATGTACATTAGTTGACTAAAACATCGGCCAACGTAATACATTTGGAGTTTCAGTTCCAACTACACAAGCTTCAGTTCCACCAAAACCACTACAGCATTTCTTTCAAACAAATTGGTCATTTGTTTTCATATGAATACCAATGAACAATGAACAATGAGTTTATACGGGTTAAGAAGCGTTGCGTTACAATCCCCGTTGGATAGTTGGTGGGGATATTAACATAACAATTATGAGGAAAAGGATAGTAAAATAGTTAATACTTTAAATACGAAAATAAGGACTTATCGTTTGCTTCGCTGCAGTCCTGCGATCCACTTAGATTCACAACACCCACAGTTAACAACAAATAATTCCAGGGTAAACTCCAGGTGTAATATCGATGTAATATCATTTGAAAGTGCAGGCATCGGATGACATTTATGTTTGTACCAAAACGTTGAGTCATTTTGGGTGTTGGGATGGAGTGTTGTCGAGATAGCTGTAAAGAGACTACTGTGTATGTTCGGTCAACGTGCACCTTTTGGATGGGTCGCTCCCCCTCTCAGCTACCTTGTGAATGCGCACTCCACAGAGGAGTCACGCGGTAAAACGATTTCGCGTTCATTATGTGAATCATAGTAGCACGTGAGATGCCCAGTTTGCAGGGGCAGATCTGTCAGTTTCCACTTTACCAAACTATGCGATTAATGTTTATAGTCACACTAGGCCCACTAAAACAGTGAACCACAATAGTGTTGTAGCAGTACCTCATACTATTACTTCGAGATCCTTAAACATGTATCTGAAACACGAAATTACCTTCCTAATTCAAGGTGAAAAATTGGCTGACACGTGCATTTAGTGTGTTTTCGTCAATCGCGATAACATTGAAACTACTGTGGTGATACAAAACACATGAACTGACCAGCACGTGACCGCCAGTCGATCTCACTTAGCCTTGTCCCTCCTGATCATTTTGCTGATTGCATGAATGTGGACGATTAGACTGTACGAACTTCGGACCTCAATCAAAACCAGGGTCTTCTGCTTTGTTGAAATAGACCCTACCTGACCTGAAAGTCACAGAATGAAGAGGGACTTAAGATAAGACGTAAGTGCATTCAGCAAACAGTAAAGATAAGAGTGCCAAGATCTGTCCAGCGCCACACTGCCAAAAGAAGCTGGTTATACATTTGTGGTGAAGGGACATCGGTGAGACATCTTTTCTGCTTTACCTACAATGGTTCATGTTCGGCCAGGTTATATCTATAGCTCTGCACTGTGTGCGCTTTAGCTAACGAAGACAGGTAACGGGCGAGTGCAGATATGTACCTGTTGCTAGTTGGCACAATTTCCTATAGAATATCAAGCCAAGCAGGAAGAGCACCACGTAGACGCTTGGTCAAAAAACGAGCTAGATCAATAACAACAAATTTTCTCGCTATAGATCTATCATACTCTAAGCTGTCCACAATGGTGCTTCTGTTCCACGCGCAATCCATCACCAGGGAAAACGAAGCATTCTGTTAGAGGAACTGTTCTCTGTGCTTGGCAACTTTGTTGCAAGCGTTTTGTCACCAGTCGAGGTGATAGCATTGAGGTGTTAGTGCGTAGCGATGCCCAAGTGTGAACCGGGTAGCCAAAAGCGTGCCTTTTTATGAGTCATCGTCGTTGGCCATTGGGACATGTGACCTTTGAAGTATTCTGCTCCCGGACAAACGCAATTGGAATGGCCAATCGGAACACTGACCCTGAGCAGATGGCGCATGGTGCGACGACAGCTGATCGACCGAGCCAACGAAACATACTAAGCTGACAGGCGGAAAAAAATCAGCACCGCCGCTAAGACCTGCACATGTTCGCAAGGGCCGAATGAAACGAACAGAACGGGTATCGCCTATTGCGAACAAAGCGCAACTTTGTTCCGAACACATGCTAACCTGAGCCAATGAATGCAGTTAGATGGCTAGCAAGAATAAGCCATAGAAGGTGCGCACTAGTGGAAGCGTGATTCAAAGTTATGTACAGTATAAATCAGTCTTTGTTCACTTATAATCGATTTTGGCTCGATGTCAAGTCAGCGGATAACTTCGACATTTTTCCGCAAAGTTACATAAAAGGTCCAACATTATGCAGAGAAAGTCTAAAACGTTGCAAAGCAAGTCCAAGATGTTGCAAAATCCT